TATGTACAAGTATTTATTGAAAAATGGAAAATCTTTTTTATTGTGCAACATGTATGTCTATCTATTATAAAATCATTATAAACGTTTGTAATTATAACTAATTTGATTTAAATAAAGCAATTATAAGTCAAGAAAGTACAGTTTTATAGAACAAAGTTAAGAAGCTTTTCGTATACAAATATTATTTAATAAAAAACCAAGAGGAGTATTAATTGTAAGAGTTGCAATTGCTGTTCAAAGAAAAGATAAATATGATGTATCTTTGTTAGTTAGGTATTTTATAAATTGGTGATATGCTTTATTCTTAATCAATTCGTGAAAAAGCGTATATAAAAAAACCATGTTTAAATTATAGTATTTTCAAAATTTATTACAATTTAAATTTTCGCTTCACTATTAATCCACAGTAGAAACATTTGGTAACTGCTTTTCTGATTTTTCTTTAAGTTTAGCTTTTTCCTCTGGACTGAAATTCATCGCTTGAACAAATATTTTGAGGACAATTTTATTAAAAATTACTCGGAAGCATGAGAATTTTAAAACGTAGCCCAATGTAAATCTTAAACAATTGAAATAATAATATATATTATTAGAAATACACTTATAATATAATTATTAATAATTTATAATATATGTATAATTATCTGTCAAAATTGATATTTGATATTTGGAAATCTAAAACTGCGTTACGAGAAAAATTAAGTATCCATATATTCTATACGTATATTGTATACGTATATACTCACCTCCAGCTTTTATAAAGAATCCATTCTGCATAACTCATTGACGCATACAAGTGCGGCATATTTATATTTAACGCATCCATAGCGAGTAACATCATCGATTTATAAGGCATTAAACCAAAAGAGAGCAAGGGAACATAATTCATTGATTCGATGATACATCTCGTCATGTGCTCCCATTCGGGAGTAATTTCCTTAAGATAAGGCAATAACCAATATTGATAAATATCTCGTGCACGCTGCTTTATTTCCTCGAGACTGCCGCGACAGAAGTTGTGTCTGAGAAAATTATACGAATATGAAAATTTTAGGAAGGGCATTCTAAAACTTTACCCCTACAATTTTTACTAACGCTAAAAAATATATACCTATCTTCCATCCCGAGATAATATCCGTAACATCTCCACATGTGGCAAAAAGCCTCGACGTCTTCATCGGTCGCATTATGCATTCCAATCAATTGCGGACAAAGCAAAACTAAACTTATTACACCGAACTGTATGCCTGCCATGTCCGCGTTATTTACGCCTTTCGGCTTGTATGGCGACTTGTCAATTAGGGTGTAAAAACGTTGTCCGTCTTTCTCAAGTGGACACGCCACGGCTAAATCCTGTAGAAACAACTCACGATCCGGGCACCAAGGCTCCACGATTTTGGACTTGTTGTCAATTTGCTCGTCATTGAGCTCAAGCAACTTTAATTGTATCATTAAATGCATTCTACGGGAAACTTCCATGTCTTTACTGGCTGGCGTTCCTTCAATCCAAGGCTCTCCGTTGTACCAACTAATTATTCGTTGTATGGTCGAAACATACCTTGCAAGTTAATTACATTATGATCAATTTAAAAAAAGATGCACATAATTAATTCATAATACTATGTCACAAAGTTAATATAACATCGTTTAATAATGTCTAAAATATAAACAAGAAGAATAATATAAATAAAATGTAAAATATTAATATAATAAAAATGATATAATAAAAATGATATAATAAAAAAATATAATATTCATAAATATAATAATATGTGATAAATGGCATGTAGCAGATAAATTTGCAAAGAACTGACTGTGTTTAGTAGAAAAATCAGCTTTCTAACTGTACAATTTTTTAATATGATTGCGGTACTTGCTCTTTGTACGTCTAATCACAAAGAATCTCACAAAACTGCTGACATCATAGAACATATATAAATGGAAGAGGAATGCTGATAAGATGAACAGAGAGGTCCACATCCGATACCTCTCTCTCTTGCTCTTTTTCTTGTAAGTGTTTTTTCGAAAGTGCGCGGCCAAACCCGTCAAACGACGCACTCACAAGAGAAAGAGCAAGAGAGAGAGGTATATGATTTCCTTTCTCACTTTCATCGGACGCTTTTTGATTCCTCATTCCCCTTCCATTTATATATGTTCTAAGGCTGAATGCAATTACTAACTCAGTGAATATTGATTTTGTTATTAAGCTAGCTTGTTTTCCATCGGTTAAAGTACTCGGTGTAAAGTATCATCGCATATTAAATCCCGGGAAAAAAGTTTTACATATAATTATATAATAATTATATATGCAAAATATGTCCATATATATTTCTTTCCTTTGTAAAATTATTCTTTAATTCAAAATTGATAATAATAAGAAAACATAAAAAATAATTAAAAGAATAATTTTTACAGATCGGAAGAGCACAC